GACAGCCAGCGGGTGAACGTGCGTACCGGGGACCAGGACTCCATCCTCTTCATTCGCTCGGCCCAGCGCTCCGACTCTGGCCGCTATGAGCTCACCGTGCGCCTGGAAGACCTGGAGGCCAAGGCAGCCATTGACATCCTGGTGATTGGTACGGGGCCAGGGGAACAGGGCTGCCTCATGGGAGAACCAGAGCCCCCGATCTTGCACCCCAGAGCTGATGGCTGATGGCAGCAGGCCAAGGGAGTGTGGCAGGAGCCAAATCTTGGGTGTGGGGGCTCTGTAGCTGGCCTGGCCCCCACGCTCACTTCCCCTTGCACCCTGGGCCTGCAGAGAAACCTGGACCCCCCAGCAGCATCCGGCTCCTGGATGTCTGGGGCTGCAACGCTGCTCTTCAGTGGACACCACCCCAGGACACAGGCAACACGGAGCTCCTGGGCTACACGGTGCAGAAGGCAGACAAAAAGACAGGGGTGAGGCTGGCTGGGACAGAGCGGGGTCGGGGTACGAAGTGGTCAAGGTGGCGGGGAAGGCCCATCCCACAGAGTCTAGGGACAGAGTCTAGGGACAAAATTTAGGGACCGAATTCTGGTCTGCCCACTGCTAACCTGATGACCTAGGGGGCCCTTAGCAAGACTCTTCCTCTCTGGATCTCAGATGCCTCCTAAAGAGTGCGAGGAGGGCTGGCCTGGGCCATCTGCAGCCTTTCAAGCTCTGGAGCCCGCTTCCCAAATCTTAATGTGTGCATGAGTCACCAGGGGAGCTTGCTAAGAGGCAGAGTCTGACTCACTAGGTCCAGGGTGGGGGCTGAGAGCCTGCATTTCGAAGAAGTTTCCAGGTGATGCTGAAATTGCACATCTGTGGGCCATACTTTGCCATGAAGGCTCTAGGAGTCTCTGAGGATCCTACAGAGGTCACCTGAGTGACCCAGGGGCCCCTTCTCCCAGTTCAATGTCCCTGAGTCCCAAAGCTGGATAGTTCAGCATCCCAGGGTTGGGGGCATGGAATGAGTTCCCATGAAGAGAGGGCTTCAGGGTAAGCAGGGAGGGCAAGAACAGGGGTGAGAAACGAGGGTGACACCCGGGGACCCGCAGCAATGGTTCACAGTGCTGGAGCGCTACCACCCGACCACCTGCACCGTCTCCGACCTCATCATCGGCAACTCATACTCCTTCCGGGTCTTCTCAGAAAACCTGTGTGGGCTGAGCACCTCCGCCGCCGTCACCAGGGAGCTCGCCCACATCCAGAAGGCAGGTGGGTTTGGGCCAGGTCTGGCTGTGCTGACTCTCCCTGTCCCTGCCTCTTCCTCAGCGTCTTCTCCACATCCCTCTCTCTGGGCTTCTCCTGGGCGTCTGCCCCTGGAACACCCGCTGTCCCCTGACTCCACAGCTATGCATGCACACGCATGGAGTGGCTGCAACGCAGTGAATGTGGTTGGTTGACTTTAACAAACACATCAGAGCAAATCCACACAAATGAAAGATGCTCCTTGGGAGGCCGTGTACTTATTGCAAAGATGCTTGTGGCTGCCAGCATCACAGCAGCCATCAAGTCTCAGGCAGTGAGTGTCCCAAGAGAATCTAGAGGGTGACCTGTGCATGGCTGAGTAGTGTACTAAAACGGGTGAGTTTGCTAAAACAGGCCTTCCAACCCCCATACACACCACATAGATGGACAAGAGAGATAAGAGTATTTACTGTCTCCAAACAGGCACTGACCCTCTTGCGTCAAATCCTAAACCCAGGCCCTTTTCCCTGTCCCCTGTCTGCCCCGAGGCCCTCCGCGACCCACCGTCTGTGTGGGTTCCAGAAGGCAAACTTTATTTAACAGCAGCTTGAGCTGCACAGAATTAGGAAGAAATGTTTGCTTAAAAAAGGAAAGCCGGTCAAGTCTCCAAAGACAAACGCAAAGGAAACGTGGTGACTGAGTTGTGAGCCTCCACCTTCTGCCAAGACGGTCTCATCGCTCTGGTTTTTCCTCCTCTTCTCTGCTCACCACCCTGACCCACCCAGCCTCAGTCTCCGCCTTCTCTGCCTCTTTGGGATTGTCCAAGTTGCTGTAAATAAGTCATGACTTGCTATAGATCTAGGATCACAGTCAGTCCTAACAGGTCTCCTTCACTCCTGGAAGCTCAGACTCACCCGACTTTCTCCCCTGAACCCAGATATTGCCGCCAAACCGAAAGGGTTTATTGAGCGAGACTTCTCAGAAGCCCCCTCATTCACCCAGCCCCTGGCTGACCACACCTCCACCCCTGGCTACAGCACACAGCTGTTCTGCAGCGTCCGAGCTTCACCCAAGGTGAGGGGCCAGGCCCTGCTGTGCCCTGGGCTGGTGGCAGCAGGTGGGAACAGCAGGGCTGAGGAATCCTCCGGGCATCCGCACCTAAGCCTGGGGATGGCCTATAAGAGTCCCGCCCCAGTCCACACCTCCCCAGCTCTCTTCTGACCATGCCTCCCAGCCCAAGATCATCTGGATGAAAAATAAGATGGAGATCCAGGGCAACCCCAAATACCGCGCTGTCTCTGAGCAAGGCGTCTGCACCCTGGAGATCCGGAAACCCAGCCCCTTTGATTCCGGGGTCTACACCTGCAAGGCCATCAATGTGCTGGGGGAGGCATCTGTGGACTGCCGGCTAGAGGTCAAAGGTGAGAGTTTGAGGCTGAGAGAACAGGAGTCAGCACCTCTCTGGAGGCAGCAGAGAGCTTAAAATCAAGGCAGAAGAGAAGGGGTAGTAAGATCGAGGTCAGGCCGATTACTTTCCAAGCGGGAGTGTGGGCAGGTGTAGGGGAGGGCGGGCAGGTGTAGGAGAGGGAGGGAAGGTGTAGGGGAGGGTGAGCAGGTGTAGGGGAGGGCGGGCAGGTGTAGGAGAGGGAGGGCAGGTGTAGGGGAGGGCAGGCAGGTGTAGGGGAGGGCGAGCAGGTGTAAGGGAGGGACTGTAACCATGAACCTTCTCAGTTCCCCGACACTTCCCCCAAGCTCTAACTGCAGCATCTCTTCCAGCCTCAGCCACGCACTGAAGAGCCACAGGAGGAGGCTGTGATGAGGAGCCAGGTAAATGGCCAGACCCACCCCCTCTGCTGCCTCTGCCGGTGGCACAGAAGCAGAGAGGAGGCCGGCAACAGGGGCTGGGGGTGAGAAGGGAAGGTGGCAGTCAGCTCTGGGGACAAACTTGTGGACACAGGCAACTAGCACACATCTCCAGACTCGCAGTGACATTGCAGGGCCAGGCGATGCTGGTGTGGCCTGGAAGGGGGCGACTCCGTGGGCCGCCACATGATCAGAGTCTACTCCCAGCTCTGAGTGACCTTCCACAAGGGTGTTCTCTTTGGACACATTTCCTCATCAGAAAAGTGGGGATAACCACCTTCCCCTGCCTTCCCTCCGCTGGTGGTTCTGAGGCTCTGCATAAGTATGGAAGTATCTAGAACTGCGGTGGGCAGAGCTCAGACCTGGGCCTGAGGAGGGAGGCCTGGTGAGGAAGAGGGTGCTGCTCCCCTCCCCTCTCTGCACCTCTCTGGCCTGCAGCCAAGCTCACACCAGGGCCTCAGGAAGCACATCCTCCCCCAGATCCCCCAGGCCCACCATCAAACTCCAGAGACACTCAAGACCCCGGCTTCCATAGCGACGGCTGAAGGAACTGCCCCTGGTACCTGCTGGCCCCTCTCTCCCAGAGGCTGGTGTCCAGAACTCAGGAGTGGGCCTGGTAGGCCCCGGGCCAGGCTACCTGGGCTCAAGGGGTCCCGGAGGGTGCAGAGACGGGAGTGCTCTGGGTGGATCGGAGCCGCACTGGGTGAGAAGCACTTGAATAAAGATGTGTGGTGTCACAATGCGGGGCCTCTGTGCCAGTGAGCGACATCATCTAGGGGGAGGCGCTGCATCACCAGGAGGGGGTGTCTGAATCTATCACCACGAGGGGAGTCTCCAGATAATGTCACCGTGAGGAAGACGCCAGCGGGAGGGTGAGGTCTCAGGATGTCATGGGTCTGTGTGTGGGTGGGTCGGGGGGGGGGTGGTTCTGGACATGTGAATTTCCCGGATCTCGCTTCCTGATCAGGGTTTGCTACCCCAAGTGCGTAGCTATGGAAACAGACACACCCTCTCTGGAACCCTCCTTGCCGGAACGCCTCCACATGCCCCCGTCACAGCTCCTCCCAGCTCCAGCCATTGCTTCCCCTCTGCTAAGGGTGTCCTGTTGCTCTCAACAGCGGTGGGGGTGGGTGCCCAGCAATGTGCGCTCCACAGGGTTCACAGTTTTTTTTTATTAGTCACGTGGGCTTCCCTTGGGAGCCAGGGCATACCCCATTTCCAACAGAGGGAAGGGCCTGGAAGCAAGGCCTGGGGTTGACACTCATGTTCAAAACCCGTCAACTCGATGGCCATCTCCCCTCCCCCGCCTCGTCCCTCTACGCAGGGACTCCAGGCTTGGCAGGGCATGGGTTGGTCCTTCCCCCAATCCCTAAAGTCCTAGACCCCCTACACCTGCAACAGAGCTTCTGAAGCCCCTGAAAATGCAGCTAAATACTAGGGGTATTGACAGATTCGCATGACAGCAAGACCATCCCCACACTCTCAGGAGCTGGCTATACTCCCCAGGAGGGCCACAGTTCACCCCGTCCCCAGGCAGGCAGGGTGCTCCCAAGAGTTGACATGTCTAGGGTTCTCCTCTCCATCAGGCCCAGAAGCAGCAGAGATGGGGTCACTTAGGAGAGTCCAGGCCTGGCATCGGGTGGCCAGTGGCACTGGTGGCCCAGATCACACTCCAGGCTCCTCCCTGGAAAGCTCAGGGCAAGAAGGAAGGCTCAGAGCTGCCACCTCCTGGCGGTTTGAGGCCAGCACCTACTGCACCAAGCTCGCTCCCCAGGGCGCGGAGTCTGCACTCCAGAAAATACCAGAAATGATTTCTGAATTGCTTGAACCCAGGAGGTGGAGGTTGCAGTGAGCTGAGATCGAGCCATTGCACTCCAGCCTGGGCAACAAGAGCAAAACTCCATCTCAAAAAAAAAAAAAAAAAAGAAAAGAAAGAAATGATTTCTGAACCTACCCTTTCTGCCTCTCCCACACACAATCCCGGGTAGACCCAGGGCAAGGACAGCAGGCACCCTAGCACCTGGTATGGCCTGGGGCCCAGAGTCCTCAGAGGCGGGAATGGAAGCTCCTTGATTTCTGTCTGTTAGCTGGCTTCTGGCTACCCTCTGCTACAGAACAGGAGAGACAGCCAGGCCAGTGCATCCCCCACCTCTCTTCTCCCATCTGTCTCAGAAGGGATGCTCTCCTCTCCTTAAGCTGGGCCTGGGGCTGCACCACCAACACCAAAGCAAGCAGACCCACTGCCTCACTGCAGAAGCCCAAGCACCTTTTCCCAGCCCAGGTGGCTCCTCTGCAGTCTCGGCCTCCCCAAGACCTGCCCAGGCCTGAAGCGCTGGACTGCTCGTGGGATGGTAAGGCAGGTGGGGCTCAGAACACTCTCACCTCTAGACACCCGGTCCCTTCACAGGATCCTTGCCCTCCTAAGCCTCCTGCAGGGCCCAGAGGTACAGGGTAGTTAACTCCTAGTGGAGGGATCATGCTCTGTGGGTATCTCTTCAGAGCCTTCCCAATGCCCCCCACCCACAGCCCAGCTGGGGCAGGCTCAGGGAGACCCCTGGGACAGCGAGCAGGGGAAGACTGGACTGAGACCCCGCTGGATGTGGGCTGGTGAGAGCAGAAGGCGGGGTCTAGTCATCAGGCCTCTCTTCTGGGAGATCCTCGTCAATGGGGGGTGTGGGCTGGCAGCGGAAATGATCATTCCAAATCTTAAGGAAGGTGACCCGGAACTTCTGGATGCGGAAGGCGTAGACGATGGGGTTCATGGCCGAGTTGCCGTGCGTGAGGAAGATGGCAATGTAGGTGAGGATACTGGGCTTGTGGCAGGACGGGCAGAAGAGGGTGATACAGTTGAGGATGTGCAAAGGCAGCCAGCTGAGGGCGAAGAGGAAGAGGATGAGGGCCAGGGACTTGGCGATCTTCAGCTCCTTCCCATAGTACTTCTGCGGGTCGCCGGAGGAGGCCGACACCTTCTTGTTGAGCTGCTTGCGGATCAGGTAGAAGACCTCCAGGTAGATGAGGACCATGAGGAGCAGCGGGGGCAGCACCCACACGAAGAAGTTGAAGTAGACCATGTACTCCATGCTGATGACCTTCTCGAACTCGCACTTGATCACGGGCTCCCCGACGCTGCTGTTGGCCGCCCAGGCCCGCTCCACCGCACTCAGATTGTTCCAGCCAAACATAGGGGTCAACCCCACCACGAAAGAGAGGATCCAGCAGCCGGCGATGGCCACCGCTGCCCTCCGGGGGGTCACCACCATTTTGTACCTGGGAGAGAGGAGGGCAGAGTGTCAGGATCTGCCTCCCAGCTGCCTCGAAGGGCCCCTCTGAGGCACACCTGGCCTCCAGGGGCCTCTAAGAGGAGCTCCCTCCCCATCCAGGGCCCGGTGAGCGGGGAGGTGTGTGTCTTTTGCTCGAAGGTTGAGTCTTCAGGATCTAAGATTTAGTGCTTGCCATGCATTGGCTCATTCTCCTGTGAAGAGAGGAAATCCTGATTAATGACAAAGTAGTAATAGAAAATCACAAAGGACCTCCTTTAGAAATGTCAGGGAAATGACCACAGTAAAAATTGCTCCCATGCACTCAGCACGCTCTCCCTGGTTATCTCGCCATTGCTTCATGACTGCCTGCATTGCATAGGAAGGCGCTGGCAGAATGCGGACTGCCCAACTGACAGATGAGGAAACTGAGGTTCAAAGTAGTCATAGGATCTGCCCAAGGCCACATGGAAGGTGGCAGTGCTGTCCTGTGCTTCCTAAAACAGGTCTAAACACTGACCAAAACAGCCAGGTAATTAACAAACCATCTATCCCTTCTCTTGGGCCAGTGAACACAACTGTCATTTCAAAAAATCTTTCACACAATTCCCCTTCTTTGGGCCTTGCCCATACTCCCCGGCAGTGCCTCACCTCCCACCTCCGTATCAACTTCCTGTTTCCCCTCCTGATCACTGTGTAGCACGTACCTCCTAAGGGCTTGATCTCAAGAACCAGCTCTGCATTCCCAAGCTAACTGGAAATGATGCTCAGGAAAGAAAACTGACATTCACTGAGCATCTACTACATGCCGGATACTTTCACTCATTCACTCATGCATTTACGCACGCATACCTGGATGCATTCATTCAGCGCCAGCACCTAAGAGAAGCAGACTCCCCTGCCTCATTTGCCGAGTGCCTTTTGTGCTAGGCATTGCTCTCTGTGCTAAGATAAAAGATCCCCACTTTTACATATCTCACATTTTGGGTGAAGAGACACATAACACAGAAGCAAGAAAATAAACAAGACAACTACAGATCATTTTATGTCCTTTAAAGGAAACAGGCTGTGTCAAGGGACAGAGCTTTCTAACTTTTTTCACATCACAAAGAAGATGGAAACATCTGGATGACAAGGCTGCTCGTGAGCCACAAGGGTTGGGCGTTTTCATATCTCAGGGGTTCCCACTTCCCTTTAAACCAACCTAGCCAGCAGCCATCGCGGCTTCTGCCTGCACACTGGCCTTGGAGACAGTGCCAAGGGCTGGGTCTCACCCAGCTCCGTGCTGAGGAGCCAGCTGAACAGCAGCAGCTTGCCCAGTTGTTATTTTCCAATGCAGCTTCTGAAATTGATGGAGCACCCGCTGGAGCACATAAACAGCTCCTGAGACCCAGAAGTATGAAGGGAGAGGCTGCCGACTGCTTCCTTCTGCCCCAGGACGCAGAATCTACAGCCTTCTCCTGCATGATGATGATGCTTAAAGGCTCTCTCCCCCTGGACAATGCTTCTCCTAGACCCTTTACCATCTATCAAAGCTCACCTGCTCTGTGAAGGCTATGTGGATAGGAAGGGGGACAATTTGCAGAGTGGGAGGAACCAGATGCCCCCTCTCCACCCCACCTACAAGACGAGGACTAGAAGAGACCTTTGGAATCTCATTTTCCATCCCTTCATCGTCCCAGTGAAGAAACTGAGTAGATGACTCCAACACCTTTCGAGCAGTTCCCCTCCCCCACTCTGTGATCATAGGATCCTTGGCCCCAAACCAAGGGGCCTTGAGAGGTAACCAGTTCACTTATGCCTCTGAGGTTTTCTTAGATACAATCCTCACTCTCTTGCTGCAATTGAAGCCCATTCCCTCCTCTGTATCCTCAGCAGAATGGCCAGGCCTGGTACAGACACTGGGAGTCAGAAGACCCAGATTTGGGCAGCCAGTCTGCAACTTGTGAGATCAGTTTCTCCTCTGTAAAGGAGACCTACTTCAGAGGGAGCGGATCAAATGAGATACTATGTGTGCGAGTGCTCTGTAAACACCCGACCAGCATTCCTTTGCCTGAGCCCTTCTTACCCCTCCATGCTCCTAGACAGATGCCCATCTGAAAAACTCCAGTATCTCTAGACGATCAGCAAACACAGCCTAAGGGCTATTTAAACATCTCACTCACGTCTTGTTCCTGACCATCTCCAGGTGTTCCCCATGTGTCCTTTCAGGTACGGTGGAAAAAGTTCTGGGCGTTAGTATACAGGGAAAGACCAAAGGAACGTCAGTCATTCTGAAGGCTAAGGGATGCTGTCTGAGCAGCCACACAGCAGAGAGTGAGGCCGGGTCCCCGGGTGAACCTCAGCAAGGAAAGAGAGCTGCCACTGCAGAAAGAAGGATGGGGCCAGGTGTCCTCCCTACCCCCACCACCCATCTCATCTGCCATTTATACCACATTTATCATTTACAAATGCCTTTCTCAGTCCTGTCTCAGGTAATCCCCCTAACCGCTGCTGTGGTGAGCACAGCAGATGAGGGAATCCCCATTTCACAGATTGGAAGCTGGGGGTCTCCTGACTCCAAGCCCAGCTCTCCTTCAGGGTACCAGGCTGACGGTGGGTTGTTGAGATGCAGATGACTGGCAGGTTGAAAATATCCCTTGCCTAAGAGATTAAAAATGGGAACTTCTAGACCCTGCCCAAGGAGGGCACCACCCAGAGTCAGTGGGGTGGGCCAGGTGACCTCCGGTGCTGCCGTCCAGCCTGTGGATTGGGAGATCCAGCCCAGGACCCATATCTGGGCAGTGATGATCTGTGGAGGAGAGAAGGAGGAGGTGACTTAGCTAGAGAGGTGCCTCCCTCCCCTCTTCTTTCCTCACTCCTCACCCTGCAGAGCGCCTAGAGCCCCCAGGGTTAAAGCTTTCCTGGGGCTCCTCCAGGACCCAGTCCCAATAGACCCTGCAGCTTAGGGTATCAGTTCTCATCTGTTTTTCTTGCTATTTTCTCCCTGGTGGGAAAGGGCTGGACCCAAGATCTTGGCTGAGGTGGAGCAGGCTCTCACAGGAAGGGCCACCTCCCGGGGCCAGGGGAGAACCTCACTTCTCCTTATATGTGGGAAAGGAGGCAGAAACTGCAAGTTCCGGGGCATGCATGGGGTGGGGGTGTGTGGAAGGTGCCTCTAACTCTGGGGAATGCCCCTCCCAAGTCCACAGTATCCCCGAGGGCTGTGTGGGAGCTAAGCAGGGAGGTGCTGCTCTTGGGAGTGTGCAGCTCAGGCAGACACTAACAGGGGGGCAACAGAACGGAGACAGGAAAACCAATGGGGCACCATTCACAGGCCACCAGGGCAAACAGGGCCTTAAAGACAGCCCTGAGGGAACCAGGGAGAGCCCCACCACCTCCAGAAACTCCCTCAAAGTGCACAAAATCCCACAAGGATGAGACGTTCCTTTGAGTTAAGAGTTGCCTTCTCTGTGTGCTATTTTATTTATTTATTTTACTGAGACAGGGGTCCCCCTACATTTGCCCAGGCTGGTCTGAAACACCTGTGCTCAAGCAATTCTCCCACCTTGACCTCCTAAAGTTCTGGAATGGCAGATAGGAGCCACCACGCCCACCTGTGTGTTGTTTTTAAAAGCTGAGATAACATGAACTGTGTAGTATGAATCCGTTTATTAGTCGGAACTTATGGATGATGGTCACATGAGAAGACTGAGTGCCCAGAGCAATGGGCTACAGAGACCTTGGGAGGGAAAGGGATGGCTTGAGGAGAGAAATGGAAGGGGTTCCCGCTGAGCCCCTCAGTATTGTCAAGATCTGGTGGTTGAACAGAAAAGGATTTCATATCATAGCTGCAGCAAGACCGTCAATGTGGTTTATAGGTGGAAATGAGGAAACAAAGTCTACAAATCCTGCATCCAACTAGGACAAGGCAGAGAAAGCCATTGGCTCTTCCCAGGACACCCTGGCAGGGCTGCCATAAGACGGGTGGGAGATTCTGGAGGCTAACTGAGGCAGGAGCTCAAAAATAATAGTTATCTGATCAATAATAACAACAAAAATGCTGGTAAGTACTAACATGTATTTGTATGTGTTGGGCACTGGTTATTTATTTATTTATTTAAGAGGTAGAGTCTCACTCTGTCTCCTAGACTGGAGTGCAGTGGTGCAATCACAGCTAACTGTAACCTCAAACTCCTGGGCTCAAGGGATCCTTCCACCTCAGCCTCCTGAGTAGCTGGGACAAGTGTGTGCCACCATGCCCAGCTATTTTAAAATGTTTCTGTAGAGATGGGGGTCTCACTATGTTGCCCAGGCTGATCGCAAACTCCAGGACTTAAGTGATCCTCCTGCCTTGGCCTTCCAAAGTGCTGCGATTACAGGCATGCGCCACTGTGCCTAGCTCTGGGCCCTGACTTTGTAGACATGGTTTTATTGGTACTTCAGCATAACCTTATCAGTTAGATACCACAGGTTGATAATCCCTAATCCCAAATGCTCCAAAATTCAACACTATCTGAATGTCAACAAGACACTCAAAGAAAATGTTCTTTGAGCATTTCAGATTTCCAGCTTAGGGATGCTCAACCAGTGAGTATAAGGCAAATATTCCAAAATTTAAAAAAATCCAAATGTTGGAAACACTTCTGGTTCTACACATTTTGGATACGGGATACTCAACCTGTATCATTATTTTCATCTCCTAATTGCAGTAACTGAGACTTGGAGAGATTAGAAAACATGTCCAAGGCCACGCTGCCAGGAAAAAGCAGGAAAAGAATTTCCGAGACTCCAGTATGTCCAAGCGCAAAGCCCACGTTGGATCCAGCTGTGCCACTATGGGAGATGGAGCTCACGTGGGGATGGGAGAGGAGAAGCTTGGGGCAGAAGAAGGGAGCCGTGGCTAGGACCCGGAAGGCAAGCCTCCCCTGCTCCAGGCAAACCTCCCTGGACTAAGTAGTCATGAGGATGCCATCATACCTGGCCTGGGAGCCTCACTCCTCCCACAAAGTCTGACCTCTTTCTGAGCCACCAGATTGACCTGTTCACATGCATGCACTGCCTAGGTGTTTAGTGGGTGTCTTGTTCCTGCTGGGGGCAACCAGGTGGTTGAGACTTACCCTTTTCTTTATTAAAGGGGTATTCATTGAGCACGTATCAGGTGCCAGGTTCTAGGTGTTGGGGTTCAGGAATATAGATGAGAATAGACTCTCACGAAAGTATCATTCTATAGACA